CTGTACTGTACTGTCAGTCTACTGCTGGGTGACGTCCCCGTAATGCATGTGTACATGTATGTAGCTGTGCCACTTTCCTCTACATTTCTGTACAATTGAATTTCCCTTCTCCATCTTGTGACCATCACACAGAGCATGTTCAATTCCCTACTCTCATTCTGAATGGATGAATCATACCGAATGGGCAACACACGCTCACTTCCTTGCACCTTAAACACTTTCAATTCACATTCCATGTACACGTACACACATCTACATGAACAACCATACCGGTATGGTTGCATATCCCAATTCCAAATCATAAAAAAAACCAAGACAGAATTTCTGTCACTACAAATGAGTACATGAAAATGTTACGTTCACACTGTCGCTTCACGTACACTGGTGTAATTGTCCTGTGTTGCATTCTGTGCATTGTAAGTTGAAGTTTCACATTGCCACCCTTTAACTATAGTCCACTTCAGTTGTGCTCTATGGACCTAGTGAATTCTCATACATGCATGTACACTGCAATTGTATATAACATGGAAGCATATCTCCCTGCACATACAGTGTATGTCCATTCCCCTACTACTGTAGAGGAATGACTCACTTCATGTTAGACTTGTTCAAGTCCCTCACGTTGAAACAAAATGGAGGGTGTTTGTAAATGTACAGTACATGTATACATGTACTGGTATGTACACTGTACATGTATTGTACATGTATGTGACTTATGCTGTGGCAGCCATTTGACTGTTTTGGGGCTAACATGGTACAAGCTAGGAGACAAAAGCCTGCTAGAGATTCCTTTCCACATACCAGCATTAGAAGGCTGGAAAATCAAAGACAACAAAACTGACATTTTATGGCACTAGCGGAATGCCGTGCTACGCATGGCACCTGTTAGATGGGTTGAGGCATGGTTGAGCTGAGACGTCGATATCATGTGTCAACAAAGTAAATGGAATTTGTAATAAGTAATAATTTTTTTCCGATTACACGACAATCTCTGGATTTTGACATTTTTCAGACTGATGATACTTAAATAAAGAGACCCAACTTCTCACAGGGGATGGCCCATAAACAGTGAATTCGAAGTGTAGACAAAAACAGCCTTCGAGGAATAGGAAGCAGCATGACACCAACTCATGTCTTCTTTTGTGAATACTGCAGCTGTTCCAGGCAACTCAAGTTTGATAGAAGTAAAGTCTGCTGGGTTCTCTGTTCTACTCAGCGTTCTTGGGATAGGAATGATCAATGAATTGAGGCCAACATACTGGTAAATAGAACGGACCATTTCAACACTTTGTTGTCTCCTTTTCAATGGTAAAAGTAAGAAGTTGGCACGAAAGTCCACTCCAGTGTAATTTTACTAAGATAATTACATGTAGATGAGATTAAAAACTTATCGTCTGCATTATAAAAAAATCAGAAGTTTATTTCTATTGGCATGATTTAAGAAGAGAAAAAATACATATGTACACATGTAAATAAAACAAAAGATTATCCACCAAAAAGGTACACAAATTAAAAGACTAAAACACGCTTGATATCCAAGACAGATAAAACTGATCTTACAGAGGTCTTAGGTTTATAACTATCTTTTTAAGCTGCTGCTGGCATATCTCTGAATATTTCTAATGTTTACCAACATTAGCATCGTGTGGTATTAAAAACATTGTGTAAAAGTCAACAGTGTTCCGGAGGACATCATCAAGCCCGGCCCGTGTTTAAGTGAGGAATTTGTGGAATAGTACGCAGGGAACACACTTTGCAGATGACAGCCTAATGATGCCTACAAATCTCAACCTTCATTTTGTCTGAGGCAACCGTTGACTTTTTTTAATGTACGTGTACCTTGTCACCACTGTGGACATTTGAGTTCTTTAAATTGTAATTGATTTTTGGAGGTAGATTTGTGTGTTTATAAAGACAGGCAGATTGTTAAAGAGTATAGAAAGATGCTGCAACCAGTCAGAAACTATTCACCATGGCCGATACCAACACTGAAGAATAAGTCACCTTCAAGTGCTGAATGAGCCACTCTCTCCTAAATGGCTTGGCCGATCAGTCAAGTTTGGTGTCAAGGTGGCATGAGTGATACCATGGAGGTAGAGTGCAAATGTGTCTCCTTCTATTCAGGAATGTGATGTACATGTAAAGGTGTTTCTTTTTTAATCCTGTTCATTGCTTTCAGGGAGTAAAATTCTTATCGCTTTTTAACCTCATCATTTCTGCTAATAACAGTACTCAAGTGGATCCGAATACATTCATCGAAATCAAAGTTACCTTACGCGAGAAAGAATTAGATAAATAGTCAAGAAATTAAGCCCCGTTTAGAAACTGTATCATTAAACCATAACGCGAGGGGAGAATTTTAGCAGAGGTCGGCAACGAACTTTAGAAACAGTTTCTGACTGTGAGCTTTCAAGTCTTCCTCATCAATCGTTCATACTCGTTTCAAACAGTGACCGTGTGTTGTTACATGTACCTATATTATATAATTTACAATAAATGCTAACATTGGCGTTCATCATCTAGGGTGTAACAGTATTCATTACTCTTATTTTCATGGGGTGAAAGTAATTGTGCCCTGACCAATACTTGTATTAGGGATTAATACATGGACATACCAAGTACTCAGGCCTTAGATCTGAAGAGCAGGGCCCTAATTTGTAGGCCCTAAGTTCTATTTTTGTTACATCCAAGTGCTTGTCTTTTCAAAATATTCGCTGGACGTTGCTCCAGAATCATCCCCTGAACATACCCTCCTCTCCGAAAAAATCAAGGTTAAAATTAATGCGCATGTTTGGGATTGTCGTACCTGTTATTATTTTCTTGTAATGGCAAAGCACCACGTGTACTCAGGCACCGTGCCAGTGGTTTTTAGACAATGGGAATAGCTGGCATGCTGTCAGAAAAGTGGTAACAGGAGACCATTTGCAATGCTGGCACTTTGGGATGGACATGGATATTCACCTTTCATGCCAACCAAGCACTGCTACCGGTACAATGTCGTCACAGGCTTGCATGAAAAAGAACAGATAAAACAACGCGAGAAGAGGGAATACAGTGTAGATAATGAATATTCACATCATTCCTGTTGACCAATCCAACAGGAAGGTTGCAACTGGTACCATGTATCCATGTCACACACCTGGAGATACATGTAGCGCACACGTATTGTGAATATTCGGCAAATTTCCGAGGACCAGACAAGCTGGAATGCCGCAGCAGGTACTACGTCACCACCAAGAAGCACAAAAGAGAATGGTCTGGATACCAGGCCCAATGATTTTAACTACTCAATGAATAAAGGGTCCAGTATCACCCAATGTCCACGTGACCAAGACTGGAGGAATTCCTCCAGTTTTTGGAAATTGCCAAAATATTTTGAAGCCGTCCCATTTACATTCAGTATGTTTGGGTGGTGCTGTTGATGTTCCGTTATTCCCGGCTGAGTAAGGAGGCCAGCTGTTGAACATGAACTCCCATATCCTAATGGCAGCTGTTGATCGTCATATTTGACTTTACAATGAAATCGAAGGTTGCCTTGGCCGAAATCAATTAATGCCAGGCGAAATGCAGTATATACACTTCCTTGACCAATGTAGGCTTTGAAGGTCTCCTCAATAATCTCCTTAGAGGAGAATCTAGGAAGCACCGGGACCTGACAATGAATGGCAAATGCCCACATACAGGATGCACCACTGTAGTGAAATTGAAAACACCCAGGCTCTCAACTTGTGACCCCTGACCCTTCCATCATATCTATTTTATTACGTGAGATTCCAGCCACGTGCATGCCCAGTCACTACACCATGGCGCAGTTTCACCAGTAACCGTGAAACAATTTTCGATACTTTTAGCCACGATCATGGAAGTAGTCTTCGGCTTGCGAGAACCTTTGTTTGCCTGATTTCACTCCATGATAATCATGGACACAACAGGAAAATCAAAGTCTATCTATTTATGTTTGTGGGTGATGCCTGACCTAAGATTTTATTATCAAGAGTTGTCAGGCAATCTTTGGGAAGGGAACCAGACTAAAAAGAGAACAGTCGGGGAACCAACACACACTGCTCCCGACCAATCATGCAGGTGTATCCCGTCCGTACTCAGCTCGACCACAGGAAGATCAGTACCAGGACCATGGCACACAAGCCTAATAACAAAGACTGTTTGATACGGCCCCAAGAACGACCAATAAACAAACGTGACATATGCACGGTGCGCCGGCACCTCCACTGGCAACGCGGACAGAGCACCTGCAGGTTTCTCTCGTAATAGTATAGACATACAGAATATGATACATGTACACATATGCACTCTGAGTAGGGATGGGGCCTGAGTAATGTCAAATGCTGTTAAAATTCAAACAATGGAACACAGCAAGCAGGGGTGTTTAGAGTCATCTCTGACATGACAAGAAAGTTAGAGAGAGAGGTTGACACTTTTTGTTAATACAAGAAAGAACAATTACACATGTATGTGAACCTGAAAATACGGTACTCTTATGCTACATGTAGGCCCCTACTATTAGTATTAAAGTATACGGAATTAACAACACTCAAGCAAACTTTGGTTCAAAAAAATCTAAAAATTACACGTAAATGTACAATGGCTATTGTTGAAGAGTGGAGCAATTGAAGGCATGTGATCAATTTTCAACTGAATGGGCACAAAAATGTAATGTTTTGCGTTAGGTAAATGCAACCTGAGCATGGTTCCATAATGAAACTAGCATTCATAAAAATATGTCATGTACATGCCGTTAGTGTATTTACTCAGCCATAAGTCGACTCAAACAATTCCTTTTGCACAACGTCATATTAGCCTGTCTTGTATGCAATGAAGGTATTATGGCAACTAAGGTCTATAGAAGTGCACGATAAAATGCCATGGTTCTATGCACATGCACATATTGGCACATGTACACTATACCATACATGTACAAAATACTGGTTCCTCATAAAGCACGATCGAATCTTGGCAGAGGAAGACATGGCATTTTACCCTGAGCACTTCCTCAAAAGATTATCTAAAATCAGTCACAGAGAAAAGCCAGGTCTTGGTTAGGATGGATGTTAAATTACATGCAATGGTTGGAGGAACCATCAAAAACGAGATGAGTGAGATGAACGGGGAAGGTTAGATGATTCCCACTCGCCTCTTACAATGTATTGGCCTTGTTTTATGGGAGGGGCTACCAGCCGCCATGGGACGCAAATAAATCTGGGTGGAAGGCTGAAAAAAAGCATATTTGATGAAAAAATATTGCATTAAAAGTCTGCATCACAAAAAAAAAATACTACATGTCAGTCCACAATGACCCCACGTCCCAACAATAGCATCAGTCTCAATGCACGAGCTGGGTTGGTCCCATCTACATGTATACATGCGCTTATACATGGGGCCTTGTGGGGTACCGGAACAATGGGAGGTACCCCACAAGGCCGTGAAAACATTCATTATAGCGGCGTTCCACTATACATGCTAGGGCTCTGCCAAATATCTGAATATTCGATCGATTATCAAATACTTGATTTTCCGAATTTGAATATTTGAATGCAAATTTCATAAAAAGGAAGGGAGAATT